CTCTTTCCATATTAGCAAAGACATGGAAAGCAGGGGTCAGGCTTTCATGGTTCCAGAGCGATGCCAGAGCTTCCTGGGAAAGAACAGCTGCTGCTTGTTATTTTTGTTTATAAAGAGGGAGGATGGAGTTTTGACATGAAGGCAGTCCTGTGAACCCCTGCACTTCCTCTAACTGCCTTGGGAAATGCATATTTTTGGGGATATGCAGACTCACCCCGCAAACAGAAAGAACATCATGAGAGCCCGAGAAGGCAGGGACTGACTCTCATTAATCACTACTATATCCTCAGAATTTGGCATGTAGTTGGTATAATTTCTGAGAAGGCACAGAATTATTTTCCTGTTTTGCTCACAGCTGTATTTCTAGCACATAGTAGGTGCTGAGGAAATATATGTTGCGTGAATGAATGTGAGGATGCATTAATGTTGTACTGCCTGCAGACGACACTGTAAGTTGCCTATCCAAAGCCATTCCCTCGTTTTTCCTTGCTAATGATATCCTGACATGATTCAGGTAGCAACGTGTTCCCCAGGGGTGACTCATGATGGGTTTAGGGAAATCAGGCCACTCCTGTTCCTCCTTGCCAGGGATTAGCCTGGGGGGTGGGGTCACGTGACACAGTTCAGCCAATGAGACTAAGAGAAAAATCTGCTCAGGGGATCATGGGAAAGAGTTGTCTCTAGCACAAAAAGAGAGAAAGCTGGAAAAAGAAAATGCCTGCTTCGTCCCCATCTTATCTCCTTACTTTTGTAGTTATTGTGCAAGGACATGATTCCTGGAGGGAAGGCAATCATTCATAAGCAAAACTGAACAAGCCCAAGGATGAGAAACCAACACTCTGAGGATGACAGTGTGGGAGGTGGGAACCTGGTGAGATGACCCAAATGAGCTTCTGAGCCCGCCAGGAGCCCTAGGTGACTTGATGTCGGAGATAAATGCACATCTTTGGTGTGTCGGCAGATATTCTGTTACTTTCAGCCAAAGCATCTTGCGTTAACTCATTGTGCCGTCATGATATTGTTATGGGCTGAACTGTGTTCACCCCCAAATTCATATGTTGAAGTCCTAACCCCCGTACCTGAGAATGTGACAGTATTGGAGGTGGAGCCTTTAAAGAGGTGATTAAGTTAAAATGAAGCCATTAGGGTGGGCCCTCATCCAAACTGACTGGTATCCTTATAAGAGGAAAAGTGGACACACAGAGACACCAGGGATGTACATATCCAGAGGGAGGACCATGTAAGGACACAGTGAGAAGACTGTCTACAAGTTAAGGAGTCGTCTCAGAAGAAACCAACCCTGCCGACACCTGTATTATGGACTTCCCAGCCTCTGGAACTGGGAAAATTACTTTCTGTGCTACTTTGTTATGGCAGCCCTAGAAAATATATAGATTTCTATTGTTATGATCAAGTTATTATCACCATCGTGAAAAAGCCCTTTGTTTCACCATAACATTGTCCCTGAGGAGCAGCTGGGACCTGAATGAAGAGAGCTTGCTCAGTATTCCATAACAAGGCAATCATATCAACCCAAGACTGGCACTCTTCATCCTCCACCCTTCACTTCACTCGGTAGAAACCTAGCAAACATCCCTCATGCGCTGGAGCTGTGTGGAATTGTCAGAGTATATATTTCGAAGTCAGGCTTCCTGGCTTTGCTTCCTAATTTGATCTCTTAGCAGCTGTGTGATCTAAGGCAACCTGGTTGTCTTCCCTGAGTTTTCTCATCCCCAAAACACTGCTAAGAACACCCATCTTATAGAATTATATAAGGCCAGAGCAAGCCAGTACATGCAGAGGGCTTCACCAAGTATTTGACTCAGAGAATATTCTTGATGGATGGGGACCATTTCTCTTCTGAATACACAAAATGGACAAGAAAGGAAAATACGGTCATGTTTTCACTTATATAACTTCAGTCTAATCCTCTCAACAAACCCTGTGACAGGGCATCGCCAACATGTTTTGCAGAATAAAGTGACGTTCAGAGGAGTCATGTGACAAATCACAGTTTTAGATCCTATGGGCTGAGATTCCAGCCCAGGCCTTCTGATGCCCATAAACCCTGAGCTCTTTTCTTCTGCACCAGAGATGCCGCCTTGGTAGTGTAGTTTTTTCCCAAGCACTCAATGTATGCCAGACATTCTCCTTTAATCCTCACAAGGACTCAGCGTTCACAACCTAGGAATAAATAACCCTGACATGGTTACACGTGTTTACACCAGACAGCAGAATAAACTGGCAAGCTATTGTGGGACTGAATGGAAAATGTGGATCAAAGGGAAGTTCCTTCGGAGACAGCAGGGAGAAAGGCCAACATTAACTGTTTGGGGATGAGGGCTTTTGCTAGACCCTTGACTTTGAATAACCTTGAGATTTTAATATTGTTATACCTCTGTTTTACAGATAAGGAAATGGAGGCTCAAAGAGGGTAAGTAACATACCCCGGACACAGAAAAGGGAGGAACGTGAATCTGGTATTAAGGCAAACATGTAGCATCTTCCCCTGGACCAGGGCTTCTTAACCAGGGCCTGCTGTGCAAAGTAGAGTACTCTGGAGAAGTTTTAAGACTACTGAGGGCTGGGCTGCACCTTCAGAGACTCTGAATGGGTGGGTCTGGAGTGGGGCCCGGCACAGGCATTGCTAAAGCTCCCACCAGGTGTTTGGAATGTGCAGCCAGGGTGGAGCAAAGCCAGGCCACGCTGCTCTCAGGACTGAGCTCTGCAATCCTGGAACAGTCTGAGCCCAGCCCTGATACTACTAGACCCAGCTGGCTGCATAAAGGCCAACTTTTCTCACTCCACCCAGAGGGGGAACAGCTGGTTCTTTCTTAAAGCAGCATGAGCTAAGGTGAGGCCAGTAACTCATCACCCAACATTCATAGCAAGTTGAATATGGATTTTAGGCAATGGCATCACCTCGAGATTCATGAATATAGGGGAACCTTAAAATCAAATACAGGCATACTATCTCCCTCTTGATGGGCCAGAAAGTTGGAGCTGAAGTTTGTTTTTTACTATTCCTTGTAGTTCCTGAGTAGAGTTTTTGGTTCCCTGTATTTATTGTTTAAATGGGCACATGAAACATTTTATGTTTACTTCTCCAAAAACTGAAGTATAATTAAGTTGCTCTTTACATATGATTCTTTCTTTCTGAGCGGTGGGGAGGGTGGTGAGGAAGCTCAGGGACCTTTATTCACAACAAAACAAAACAAAACAAAACAAAACAAAACAAAACAAAACAATAGTTTCCCTCTCTGGCAAACTGAGTTCCCATGCTGCGCAGTAGGGATTCATGTGATTTTTTTTTTTTTTTTTTTTCTGTTGCGGTATGCGGGCCTCTCACTGCTGTGGCCTCTCCCGTTGCGGAGCACAGGCTCTGGACGCGCAGGCTCAGCGGCCCTGGCTCACGGGCCCAGCTGCTCCGCGGCATGTGGGATCTTCCCGGACCGGGCCACGAACCCGTGTCTCTTGCATCGGCAGGCGGACTCTCAACCACTGCGCCACCAGGGAAGCCCGGGATTCATGTGATTGATGCACTCTGGGCTCCCCTAATGCAGGTGTCCTAAGCAGAATGCACTGCTACATGATCCCACCTGTTGTTTTTTTAAATTTTTATTGGAGCAGAGTTGATTTACCATGTTGTGTTAGTTTCAGGTGTACAGCAAAGTGAATCAGTTATACATATACTTATATCCACTCTATTTTAGATTCTTTTCCCGTATAGGCCATTACAGAGTATTGAGTAGAGTTCCCTGTGCTATACAGCAGGTCCTTATTAGTTCTCTATTTTATATATAGTGGTGTGTATGCGTCAATCCCAATCTTGCAATTCATCCCTTCCCCCCCCACCCCACCCCCCGGATCCTGTCAGCTTAAACACAGCAAGAAACTCGCTTTTCTTGGCTCAACCAAAAGTGGAAGTGGAAAGGGAGAGTTGAGGACACAATCAGAGAATTAAAGATTAACTGGGACACATGGCTGGGGAATTGACCGTTGACCAAACATAAATAACGCCAGCGCAGCTTCCCGCCACCGTGTGCACGAAGAGATCCCAGGCCCTCGGAGAGTGGAGAGCGGAAAGAAAAGTGAGAAACGAGTGGCATCAGAAGGGAAGGAGATGTAAAGGAAGCTGCAGGAGAACAGGACGGGAAGGCAAGGAGGGGCTAGGAGCAGTCGCCTTAAACACAGAGGAGCGTCTGTTCACTGTTAATACCACTGTTGCTCATCGCCCTGCACAATGGACATAATATTTGGCAGAAATAAGAAGGAACAACTGGAGCCTCTGAGGGCCAGAGTGACAGGTGAGCATTTTCTATAAACGATGGGTGCTTGTATGTTTAGATGTACACTTTTTTTCTGCTTATAAAAGTAATGTTTATTATAAATTATTTTTGGAAAATCTGGAAAGCAGTATATAGAGGGAAGATGATCCATAATCTAGATATATTCTCTGTGAAAAACTAGTTGTGCTTTTATGCATTATAACAGTTTTCAAGGAGAGAGTCGTTCTCACTATTTCCAGGAGAAATGCCCTGGGACTGCTGCAGTTGGCATACAGACAATGGGATTTTTCTGCAAATTGTGCTCCATCCTCAGTGCGTGATATATTTGTAAAAATGTGCGCGTCCTAAGTTAATTTCAAAGTAATAAGAGAATCACGTGGGAGCACCCACTGCTGCACATGCGCGCTGGGGGGCATCGCTGAGCCCGATGTGATTTCTTAGAAGGTGCGATTTCAGGATGCGAGTACCTGCAGAGCCCAGGGTGGGAGCCTGCTCAGGAATCTACGTTTCATGGGTTTTCTTCACCTCTTCTGCGTGGCCACTTTTGTGGGACCATTTTGTTTAGGCTCTGCGGGCAGTAAGTGGATCTGAACTCTCCCGTCCCAGGAGTGGTGCTGAAACAGGGAGGGAGTTGGCTCAGCCACACCACCGTTTTGGATAGATGCACAGTTTTCACAAGGACAGGACAACAGTGCCCTTTGTGAGGCAAGTCAGATTGGAGCTTCTCAGCTGAGGAATTACCTTGGATGGCTTTTGAAAGAAAAAAAAAAAGCTTTTATATATATTTTTTCTGATTACAGAGGTAATGTGCAATCTATATGTGTGTCTATATTAGGCATAAAACTTGGAAGTGCAGATGAGAACACAGAGGGAAATAAAACTCACCTGTATTTCCATCTCTTAAGCACTATTAATATTTGAGCCTATTTAAGTTTTTAAAAGATACATAAGTATAGAAAGTACAAAGATCTATTAATAGATTTTACATATAAATACTTTTTCAAAAAACAAATGTACACTTACTGTTAACTTTTTATTTTTAAAAAAGGGATCCTTGATGCTTATCCTTTTATGCTCTGGGGTACCACGGACATTTTGCCATTATACCCTTTACAGCTCATGTTTAGTGACTGCGTGGAAATGCTTGGAAATTTTAGAAAACAAGAATCCTAGGACCTGAGAAGCTGAATGAACCTCTAGATCTAGATCAGCTGTTCTCAGAGGATGGACCCCAGACCTGCAGCATCAGCATCCCCTGGGCTCTTGTTAGAATCACAGGTTTCTGGCCTCACTTCAGACCCTCTGAATCAGATACTCCGGGGGTGGCGCCCAGAAACCTGTGTTTTTACAGCCCTCTGGGTGATTCCAAGTGGGGGACCACTGCTGTAAATCAGGCCTCCCTACTGGACAGGTGTGAAGCCGAGGGCCAGGGAGAAGCAGCAACTTGCCTGAGTCCCGGTGGCCAGCAGAGGATGGGCTCCAGCTTAGGGCAGGCCTCCAGCCCCGGTTCACGTCTAATCAGCTGGTCAGCGTCCGTTGGCAGACAGCTCACTAAACACTGTGCCTGTGTGGACACGTCTGCCCCGGGGGGCCAGGCCAAGGCTCTGGCTTCACGTCCAGCTGTGCATTCTTGGCTCTGAGGCTTCTTTGGCGAGTTACTTAAGCATTTTCTGACTCAGTTTCCTCTCACGTGTAATAAAGTCAACATGTACCTACCACATGAGATTGCTGCAATGACTAAATGATTTAATCTATTAAAACACATAGTGCTCAATAAATGGTCTTCTTATTATGTCTAGGGCTTTAATATATGCTCAGATTCATCTCTCCCTGCTCTGCCTCAACCTGCTCCTTCTGTGTCCTGGGTCTCTGTGAATAATCCCACCCAAGGCAAGAGACTCGGCTGCATTTTTTGAGTGTTCCCCTCCCCTTCCCCATACATTTAGTCAAACTCTAAGTCCCTTTGTTCCATTGGTTTCTCTCCATCCCCACTGCTGCTACCCTGTTCCTCTCTCTGGCCTTCCCACCTCCCTCTGGCTCCTCCCGTCCACACTCCACACCATAGCCAGAAATAACTTTCGAAACCCCCAAATCTGATCACATTCCGTTAGTATGAGAAGAGACAGATCCTTAGAGACAGACCGTGGATTAGTGGTTGCTAGCGGCTGAGCGGGGGATGGGGATTGACTGCTAATGGGAACAGCGCTTCTTTCTGGGGTGATGGAAATGTTCTGGAGTTAGTGGTGATAGTTGCACAACATTGTAAATGTTCATTAAAAAATAATAATCCTGAACTGTACACTTTGAAATGGTGCATTTTATGTTATGTGAATTTTATCTCAATTTTTAAAATGGCAAAAAAAAAAATCTGATCCTATTTTCCCTGTTATAACCATCAAAGATGTCCCATTCTTCTGAGCACCAAATCAAAGCTTGGTGTGGTCTTGTTGACTTTGGTCACTTGGCCCTACTTAACTCTCCAGCCGCAATATTTATGATGTCCTCGCTTGAAAGTTACAGGCCAGCTCTTACTAAACAACTTGCACATCTCCTGATCTTTGAATTGGTCTTTGATCTCTGGGTTCGGGTTTCTCCAGAGATAAGAATTCAAGTGTAAGTCGTTTATTTGGGATGTGCTTCCTAAGGAACACTGAGAGGGAAGCCAATGAAGAAGACATTGTCAAGCCATTGACCACCAGGAATCACTGGAGCCGAATCCTCTGAACAAAGCATAAAATATGCCTTGCATTGTGTCAGCCGAGGGCAAGGAAGTGGTGGCCTTTGACCCATAGCATCCCATCCATCCTTGGGTGAGAGCAGCTTTCATGGGCATTAACTCTCCAGTGAGCTTCCAGCTCATCCACATGTGGGCAGAGCTGCTCCACAGTGAGAACAAAGCCCTCAGGTGGAGAGCTGTAGGTATTTGCAGAAAGCAGCCTTCAGGGAGAGGTGAACGCCAGGGGGACAGGGGCGGGACCCCAACAGCACCTGCAATGCTGTCCAATGGCAACATAATGCCTGCTCATGTGTAATTTAAAATTTTCTAATAGCCGCATTCAAAAAAATACAAAGAAACAGATGAAATTAATTTTAATAGTATATTTTATTTAATATCACACATCCAGAATGTTATCAGACCAACATGTAATTAATATTTTTAAATTGCTAATGAGATGTTTTACATTTCTTTTTCATACTAAGTCTTTGCAATGTGGTGTGTGTTTCACATTTACTGCACATCTCAGTTGGGACTAGCCATGTTGCCAGTGCCCAGTTGCCACTCGGGGGTGGTGGCTACCACATTGGATAGCACAGCTCTAGAAAGTTCTCTCCTCAGGCCTTTGCAAGGCAAACACCTACTCTCCCTCAAAACTCAACCAGGTCGCCTCCTCAGGAAACATTCCTCACCCTCCTGCTCTCACCCAATTTCAGGGTGGAGTTCTGTTCCACACAGCACCCTTGATGAGTCTGTTGTCTTGCCTTTAGCACAGTGTATTTTGAGTGTTTTCCTTTGTTTTTGTCTCTTAATGGATGGGGAGCAACTTGGAGACAGGGATGATGCCTATTCATCTTGGTATCCTCAGTGCTAGCACAATGCCAGGCATATTCTTTCTGGAAATGAATGGATGCAGCAAGTGGTAGAGGGGCTATATGGCCACTTCTTTTAGCTTTTTGGTTTAGATGCAGAACTGGAAACTAAATGTTCTTTCTCTCACCAGGCAGGATTCCAGCGTGGCTGCAGGGGACCCTGCTCCGCAATGGGCCTGGGATGCACACAGTGGGCGAGACCAGATACAACCACCGGTTCGATGGCCTGGCCTTGCTCCACAGCTTCACAATCAGAGATGGTAAGAGCACTGTGTGATTTGCCATGGCTGCCGTAACAAATGACCACCAATGGAGTAGCTTAAAGCAACACACATTTAATTCTCTTACAGTTCTGGAAGTCGGAAGTCTAAAATGTATTTCCCTGGGCTAAAATCAAGGTGTCGGCAGGGCTGTATTCCTTCTGGAGGCTCCAGGGAGAGAATCTGTTTCCTTGCTTTTCCTAGCTTTTAGAAGTCACTTGCATCCCTTGGCTTGTGGCCCCATCTTCATCTTCAAAGCCAGCAGCATAGCATCTTGTGGTCTCTCTCTTTCTCTCTCTGTCTCTCTGCTTCTATCATCACATCCCTTTCTCTGAGTCTGACTCTCCTGTCTCTCTCTCTCACTCTCTCTCTCTTTTTTAAAAATATTTATTTATTTAGGCTGCTCAAGGTCTTAGTTGTGGCACGCAGGATCTTCGTTGCAGCATGTGGTCTTCTTAGTTGCGGCATGTGGACTCTTAGTTGCAGCATGCAAACTCTTAGTTGCGGCACGCATGCGTGCAGTCTTACCCACTGGACCACCAGGGAAGTCCCCTGTCTCCCTCTTGTAAAAGTTTTTGTAATTACTCTAGGCTCACTCAGATAATCCAGGATAATCACCCGCTTCAAGAGCCTTAACCCAATCACATCTATAAAGTCTCTACTGCCCTGTAAAGTAACATATTCAGAGGTTCTAGGGATTGGGATGTGGACATCTTGGGAAGCCATTATTCAGCCCACCACAAGCACAAACCTCCCTGGAAAGGTGGCCAGGGTTGTTTTTCAGCGAGTTCAACCGGAAAAATAATACGCATTCTCAGTAAGGTGGGCAGGGACAGGTGGAAGTTTACAGGCTTTGGAATCAGACACACATCAAATTAAAATAGGAGTGTAGAGCTGAAAAGAACAAAGTGAGCGTATTGCTCATGAGGCAGGGACAGCCAGGTCAGTCATGTCCCTGAGATGACACTGAACACAGAGCAGAAGGTAGAAAGTGCCGCAACTAAAGTGAAATTCCGAGTTCAGATGACTGACTCAGGAGGTGGATTGTCTACTCTCTGCTATTGGTCATTGAGCTGATTTATGTCACAAAGTACAAGCCGGGTTCTTAAAAGGTCTGGAATGGGTTCTGGGAGGCTTCAGCAGGCTCAGGACCATGTGGTAGGGTTCAGCGTGGTGAGAGTTTACTCTGACCCCTGTGTTCCAGCTTGGGCAAGCTGCAGCCACTCCACCTCCCTGGTCCTCAGTTTCCTCATCAGTAAAAGGAGCTTGATTGTTCTCCCTGGAAAGCTTTTGTGATGATCAGCAGTACTAAGTGTCCAGCAAGGATTTGATGCCTGGTAGATGCTCTGTTGATTAAAAACCACCATCATAGGACCTCCCTGGTGGCTCAATGGTTAAGAATCTGCCTGCCAATTCAGGGGACATGGGTTTGAGCCCTGGTCGGGGAAGATCCCACATGCTGTGGAGCACGCCTAAAGCCCATGCTTCGCAGCAAGAGAAGCCACCGCAATGAGATGCCCGCGCACTGAGATGAAGAGTAGCCCCCACTAGCCGCAACTAGAGAAAGCCCGCACGCAGCAACGAAGACCCAACACAGCCAAAAATAAGTAAATAAATTTATTGAAAAGTAAAATAAAATAAAAACCACCATCACTGTTGCTGGGTTTGAATCCCAGCTCCACCATGCTAACTAACACATACCTAAGCTGTGTGACTTGGCCAAAGTTACTGACCCTATCTGTGTCTCAATCTCCCCATCTGTAAAATGGGGCTATTAGTAGCATGTCCTGTAGAATTGATGTGGAATTTAAATAAATTAATATGTGTGAGGGGCTTTGTATAATGCCCAGCTCATCATATGTGCTCCATAAGCGTTAGCTATTATTTTCACATAACTGTCATCTCTTTCAAGCTAGTCGGCAATTATTGTTTGAGTGCGGAATCCGCCAGCGACTTGCTCTAGCATTTCATGAACAGACACCGTGTGTGAATGCCATGAGCTCCGAGTTTGCAAAAACTCACAGTTTTTACTGTGACTCAGCTACAAGGTGGGTAGTTCCATATTTCCCAACAGCCTTGAGCCTTAACAGTCCCCTCTTTTCCTAAACAGAAGTTCTCAGTGATTCTTGGGGACAGAAGTGCTGTTCTGGATGAGGTGCCTGAGAGGCTTCCCTCCTCTGAGGCCCTGCCTCACCCGCTGCCAGGTTCTTCATGGTCCATTTCCGAGCTCACATTCATGTGTGTGGGAGGTACTCTTGTCTCCTTGCACATGTGACACTGAAACTTTAGGGAGGTTAGGTGACTGATCCAAAGTCACTGACGTAGGGCTGGGATCTGAAGTTGTCTGGAGTTCGTTTGCAGCTTTCTCTCCTGTCCTCAGCCCAGCACACACGCGCGCGCGCGCGCACACACACACACACACACACACACACACACATACACACATACCTCTGAGAAATGGCAGATGCTTAAATGGTATCCTTCAGTAGAGAATCCAGGGACAAGGGAACCAGCAGGGGATGACCGAGCCCTAGCCGTCTTACAGAAGTATGGCTGCTGTCCACCAAAATCCTTGAGTGGGCTAAACGGGCCAGTGACCAAAGTTATCCCATACTATTTAGACTTTCTGAAAGCTTCTAGTAGGTTTTCAAACTAAAAGTTTACTGTCAGAGGTAAGTAGCTGTTTTCTGTTCTTTTCTGAGATGGTCGGTCAGGTGCAACCACAAGAGGAGACACAGAGAGACTCAGGAAAACAAAGGTTATTCTACCCACAGGTGCTGGACACAGGAGGCGAGTCACGCAGGGCACATGGGAAAGACACCAGGGTGGACAAGAGACAGAAGACAGGAGCGGGGTGAACTCTGAGACTGAGGCCTTTATTGGGGTTTCTGAGGGCAAGGCAGGAAAGGGCAGAGTGAACAGCCTAGGACTGGCTAGTTGAACAATTCAGTGAACTTTGGGCTAGAGGGATGGTTCCTAGTTGCCTGGTACTCAGTCCTGGGCTGATTAAGGCAGAGGGACATTGTCTCTGGGGGTGTATGGACCAGATGGAGGATTGGTTAGTTTGCATATCAAAGACATACTGGGCTCTTTCCTACCTCTAAGAATTGTCTGGTCCAGGGAGACACAGTCTTGTTCCAGCCAGAAAGTTTTTTTAAGGTGTGAAAACACCATAATATGCAGAAAATTTTAAATATATACAATAAAGCAGCATGAAAGACAGTTCTATTCATAATCTGGAATTGGCTAGAAAGTGGGAGGAATGGAGACTATAGCCAACTACTTGCCCTCCCCTGCCTGTCCTGCTCTCGAACCTGGGTGTGTGTCAAGGGTGTGTGGCCCCACTCTGCTTTGCAATGATCAGTGTGCCGTTCTCCAGCCTAGGGCAGAGGCCCCAGAGTGCAGGGTCCCTGTTCAGATTGTTGTATCTTCATCACTGTGGGCACAAGGTCTGGCCCACAGGGGCACTTAGGAACTCTGTGGAGCTGAAATGACACAAGCAAGGTGAAGATGTTTTGGTAGAAGGAGGCAATACTTCCCCAGTCCATCTCTTCAATACTTGCTACAGGGAGTGCTTGCTGGCCATTGGCCTAAGTGGTTCATGGCCATCCACGACTCAGCCCTCACTGCAGCTCCTGGAGAAGGGACCACTGTTACTACCTTGATTTTACAGACGGGCATCTAAGGCCCAGAGTAGCCAAAGAACTTACCCAAATGCACACAGCTAAGAAGCAGTGGTAGTCAGTTATAAACTTAATGCTCTTTAAATCCAGAATCCTAAGTCCTAAGCATTATGCAATTCTGCCCCCATTCCCCACTCCTGCCAGCTACCATCTCTCCCCAACTCTCCAGCCTAATCCTCCCGAGGCTGCCAGATTGCCAGTGTTGGTGTAGCACAGCCTGGCGTCATCTCTCCTCTCCTCTTGAACTCTCAATGGCTCCCTAGTGTTTAACAGTGGAAATATAAACCAAAAATGTTAAGTGCTACCATACACAATTTAAGAGGACAATGCAATCAGGGTTCTCTGATTTGCAGGTAACACAAAGCCAGTATTTCTCAAAAGGTGGTTTGTGGGCTTCCTGCATCAGAATCCCCCAGGATGCTCATTTAGGTTGTGAATCCTGAGACCCCACCCAGGGCTTGAAGGGTAGGGATAGAGCATCTATGTTTCCAACACGTTTCCCAGATGACCCCGAGCACACTGGTGGTTTGGGGCTTGGGCCTCCATGATTTTTTAAAAGTACTGGGTGGTTCTAGTAGACAGCTAGCATGGAGAATGGAAATTAGTGCCAAACCAGGAAGAAAGGACTGGAGTAAGAAAGTAAGAAAGCAAAAGACCGGAAAATGACTCATAGCCTTCAGCAGAAGTCACTAGAAGATAATGCTTTAAAAAACTAAAAAAGATTTGAATAAAAAGGGCAGAGTGGAGATGGGGAAGCCGGGTGAAGGGTATACAGGAGCACTCTTTTCTGTAAGTCTAAAATTCTTTCAAAATTGAAAATTTTTATAAAGCAGGCATGGAGATGAGTCAACCCAGGTCCCTCTTAGCAGCAAATTTGATACTTTTCCAATAAGAGGCAAAGTCGGTGTCCCGTGAGGATTTGAACATGTGAATTCCAAGAGTCAGAGTCACAGAAATGTTTTCTTTTAACTGGAGTATAGTTGATTTACAGTGTTGTGTTAGTTTCTGCTGTACAGCATAGTGAATCAGTTATACATATTCATATGTCCACTCTTTTTTAGATTCTTTTCCCATATAGGTCATTACAGAGTATTGAGTAGAGTTCCCTGTGCTGTACAGTAGGTCCTTATTAGTTATCTGCTTTATATATATTAGTGTGTATATGTCAATCCCAATCTTCTAGTTCATCCCTCCCCCACTTTCTCCCTGGTAACCATAAGTTTGTTCTTTTTATATCTGTGACTCTATTTCAGTTTTGTAAATAAGTTCATTTGTATCATCTTTTTAGATTCCACATATAAGTGATATCATACAATATTTCTCTTTCTCTGTCTGACTTACTTCACTCAGTATGACAATCTCTAGGACCATCCATGTTGCTGCAAATGGCATTATTTCGTTCTTTTTTACGGCTGAGTAATATTCCATTGTGTGTGTGTGTGTGTGTGTGTGTGTGTGTGTGTGTGTGTGTGTATCACATCTTTATCCATTCCTCTGTCAATGGACATTTAAGTTGCTTCCATGACTTGGCTATGTGAACAGTGCTGCAATCAACATTGGGGTGCATGTATCTTTTTGAATGATGGTTTTCTCCAGATATATGCCCAGGAGTGGGATTGCTGGATCATATGGTAGCTCTATTTTTAGTTTTTTAAGGAACCTCCATACTGTTCTCCATAATGGTTATACCAATTTACATTCCCATCAACAGCAGAGTCACAGAGATTTAGAGGCACAAAGCCTCTCCAAAGCTGACTTTTTCAACTGTTGTAGCTCCAATGTAGTCTTTTGGAAAGTTTGCTTTAAATTTTTTTTAATTAAAAAAAAATATATATGTATATCTCCCGCCTCACCAAATAATAACACTTGACCCAGTTCTGGAAGATCCCAGGAGGGAACACGTCTGTTTACTTGTTTCCCTTTAGAAGGAATGTGGTTAATTGGGCTCCCGAGAGCAGGGTGCTAGAGAACGCTCCGTGCCTCCTTCTGTAATCTCAACCTCAAAGTAAGTGTCAGCCTTGAGTAATTCCAGAGACACATTTCCCCATGGCCCTCTGAGCACTCCCTGCTCTGGGCCTGGTTGTTTGTAGGACAACCTGTTGACAACCAGCCTGGGCTGGGTGTTTATGTTTCGTATGAACAGAATTCAGCATTTTAGGCAAAGCACATTAGCTAGTACCTATGGGTGGCAGCCCTCAGAGAGAGTGACCGTGAAGGGCAGGCTGGCTCAAGGGGAGACCAGAGTGGCCTTAAAGCTGGTCCTGTGTAGCATGAAGACCAGTAGGTGTGGCCTCACCAGCCCCCAGGTGAGTCTTCCTGCCTCCAGAATTTTGGAGAATTCAGAACTGCAGCCATCACTTATCACGTGCATGCTGAGCACCAGGAAGCCAAACTCCTTCTATCATCCCATCTCATTTAAAACTGCCAACCCTAGTTGGGGAGGACTGTATGATCCCCAGCTTCCAGTTGAAGAAACTGAGGTTCAGTGACAAAGGGACTCACCCAAGGTCACATGGCTTGGCTGGGGACTTGCCCAGAGCCAAAGCCTTGCCCCAGCTACCTACTATATCTGACTAGCATATGTAGCTTTTTATTGAGCACCTACTATGTGCTAAGTGCTTTACAGGCCTTAAATGTTATAGCAACTCTGTGAGGAAGGTATCAGGATTCTCACGTCAGAGCAGAGGGGCCTGAGGCTTGCCTTTGACACAAGGTCAAGTGCATGGCCGGTAGATGATGGAGCAAGGATTCATATCCACGTGGAGACTCGAACCTACTTGGGGTGGAGACCTTGCCTGTCCCACTCACCATTACATACTCACATCCTGGCCCATCCAGGTGTTTAACAAATAGTGATCAAATGCATGAACCCCGGGCCCAGTTAGTCCCAGAGCCCTTGCTCCTAACCATTCCTCCATGTTCCTTTCCGCTGCCCCAGGAACAAAGCTCCCCCCACCAAATATCTCAGAGATACTGATGTACAGTAGCCACCCCTGAAAAGATGCTTGCAAAGAGGACAGATGGTTATCTGACACGCAATTTACCTCCTGAAGATTGGAGAAAGCACCAGAAGGTCTTTCATGGTCTCTTCTGATTTTATCATGACGAGTGTTACCATTATTGTTGCTGTTGCCACTTAAATGCACAGGTTGGAGTCATCACTGCTGAAACGTACACTTACATCCTTTGGAAACAGAGGTGAAAACGCAATCCAGAGGGCAAAGCTAACCAAGACTGTTGGAAGTCAAGATAGTGGTTCCCCTGCAGGGTTGGGATCGGGGAGGCTAGTACAGGATCAGATATGAGCGGCCTTCCCAAAGGCTGCTCACATTCTGTTTCTTGATCAGGAAGTAGTTTATATGGGTAGGTTTAGTTTGTGAAACTTCACCAAACCATACAGTTATGGTAGCATATTTCTATAGGCATATTTTTAATAACAAGGAACAGATAGAATGGTCAATTGACGTGGTCACTGTGTCAGGATCTTCCAGTTGCCAGCTTTTGAGTCCAGTTTACCACTCGCTAGCTGTGTGGCTTAAGGCAAGGTGCTTAACCTCTCTGTGCCTCAATTTATTAGCTGGGAAATGGGCCTAAAGGGTCGTGAGTGCCCAAGCCCTTTGCCCTTCATTTTGTAAGAAATCTGAAACCTTCAAGCATTGTTTAAATTTTGTTTTATTTTGCTGTTAATTAGCAAATGACATTAAGTTGATTTTTTTCCCCTAAAGAATACATTTCTAGTTAGAGTTTTCTACACACTTCTTATGTTCAGAGGATTAAACCAGAAAATACACATGAAGTGCCCTCACAGTGATTAGCACACACATGCGCAATAAATGTTAGCTCTTAGTTTCATTTCCTCTCCTGAAAATATAAAAAGGCCCTGGGCAAGAATTTCTTGGGATTCAGTCTCTCCTTGAAGCCCATAATTGTGACAGTGGATACATGATGGGCGTTTCTCTGATGAACCTCGTTTTTATGGGAACAAACTGTCAGCGTATCCTGGGCCCTACTTTTTTGCATACTATCATTGTACCAACCCTGGAAGCATAGGTTATACTACAGCAAGGAATGTGTTCTCTAGAGGGGAAAAGTCAACATAATGTCATTTGCTAACTAATGGCAAAATAAAATGAAACAAAAACCCTAAAGGTTTCAAATGATCCACCAAATGAAGGTCAAAGGCCTCAGTATTCACAGCCCTGAAGACTTAGTAAGGTCCCCACCTGACCCCCAGCCTCATCTCATGCCTGCTGCTCCCAAGTGCCTGCTGCTCCAGCCCACACTGACTTAGCCCTTCCAGGAAGTGGGCTGTACTCCCCACCCCCAGGTCTTTGCTTGCAGACTTTCTGGGGAGAGTCCATGGGATCACATGACCCTCTCTCCTAGCCCCACCTCCCGGATCTGTTGCAGTTCAAGTCTACTCATCCTTCAAGGGCTTTTTCAAGTGCTACCTCCTCTGTGAAGCCTCTCCTCACTCACCCACACCCACTTATGAAAAGTATATGTATCTCTCTCCCCTCTCCCCTCTCTCCTCTCCCCTGTCTCCTCTCTCCCCTTCCCTCCCTGTTCTCTCCCCAGGAGGAGCCTGTGAATATATTATGTGCTCTTCTACATGGTAAAAGGGTCTTGCAGACGTGATTAAGGACCTTGAGATGGGGAGATTGTCCTGGATTATCAGGGTGGGCTCGGTGTAGTCATAAAGGAAAGAGGAAGGCAGGAGGGTCAGAGTCAGAAAAGATGTGACAGCAGAATCAGAGCTCAGAGTGATGCAGCCACAAGCCAAGGAATAAAGGCAGCTTCTAGATTCTCCCCTAGAGCCTCCAGGAGGAACTAGCCCTGCTGACACTTCGATTTTTGCCTTGTAAATCCCATTTCAGACGATGTCTTCCAACACAGTAAGATAACAAATTTGTGTTGTTTTAAGCCACTACATTTATGATAATTTGTAACAGCAGCCATAGGAAATTAATATAGATCTAGAACCATCTGGTATATTTTCAGGTTGGTCTTGGGGGACTAGTCAAGAGTCCATGCTTTTCTGGAGTGAGTCAGATTCTCTGCAGTGTCATCAACACATGTACTGACCCTCTACTGTGCCCAGAATTGGGTATAAGGGTGCTCCCTGGTTGCAAAGAGATATGAAATGTTACTCCAGGGGCTAAATTGTCAGTGTAGGGCCCCCAGAACTGAACTGGGCCCTGGAGAAACCTAGCCTAAGTACGGGGCCTTCTGGACCAATCCTCCAAATCTGGACCTTACCTGGAAAGATACAAATATGGTGGAAGGGGTGGTTGATGGCCTGGGTCGGCACCTCTCTGGGTGATGCTGGGCCACGGGATGGAACATTTCTGAGCCTCAGTTCCCTCATATGAAGATGGGGCTGGGAACAGGAATACTTACCTGGACATATTGTTGTGAGTCTCAGTCTTGCCGAAATGTGTGTGAGAGTTCCCTCCGTGGAATCTCTTTCTCTGTTCAAGGCCAAGGCCCTAATTTGGGATTCCCCCCCCGCCGCCCATCAAATCCCTGGAATGGCTGAAATCAACTTCAAAGCCCTGTAAATGTGTCAGTCTGGGATGATTCTGCTGCTTCTCTTTCAGGTGAAATCTATTACAGGAGCAAATACCTGAGAAGTGATACCTACAATGCCAATATTGAAGCGAACAGGATTGTGGTGTCAGAATTTGGAACAATGGCCTATCCGGACCCCTGCAAAAACATATTTTCCAAGTAACTGTCCATTTTGAATCTAGTCCTGCTTTCCAATGTCCTTGACAGTCAAAACAACCAGCGTTTGCTCTGGATGGCTGTCTGTAGGTTGGGTGGAAAATTTCCCGTGATCGCCTTTGACCATATATGCTACGCAGTTTTTGATCGCTGACAGCAAGAGAGGCAAAGAGCATCTGACAGATTGTTAGGTGTTCTCCCACATAGCTGGTGGGAGAGCACTTTGGAATTATCTATCAAAATTACAAATGCACATTCCTTTCAGTCCAGAGGGGTACTTGCTTGTGTCTGAAATGACAAATGTACAAGGTTATTCATGGCTGAATTATGTTATGATGAACTGAAAATAACTCAAATGATCATCAACAGAGGAGTGGTTAAATAAATCACAATAACACTACAGGAAAATATCAGGCAGGTATAAATAAAGGAATGAGGATGCTCTCTATGTTCCAAATGAAAGATTTCCAAGATATACTGTTAAGTGGAAAGAAAAAAAAAAGCAAAGTGTAGAAAGCATATAATATGCTATAATTTGTGTAAGAAGGCATGGGGAAATCTAGATTTATTTTTGTATGTGCAGAAACTCTGGAAGGATGCATGAGGGAGGTGGGGAACTGATGAGAGGAAGGATGGGGTAAATTTTCAGTTGTATACAGTTAAAATCATCTGGGTTGTGATGCATATGAATGTATTACATGCATGTTCAACACTTAAATTGTTGGCCAGGGAATCAGGCCAGCCATCAGTACCTCCTTTCTGATACTCTTTAGACACAGAAGGGTTGTGAAATGTCTTAGGGGTAGACTGGCCCAGAGAGGGAGGTTGGCTTCTACTTTTCCAGAACTGACATCATCCCTCCAGTCTTAGCATCCAGTGCTGAGTCCGGCACACAGCAAGCAGGGAACTCCCATTCCCTGCTGGGGGAGGAGCCTGGGGGAGGGGGAAGGAATGAATTTAAAACTGCCTCCTTGCTGTTACACTGTTTGCCAGTAGGGGGAGCACTAACCAGTACACGGGGTCAGGACTTCCTGGTTTGAGTTTGCCTTCTAATCAAGTGATCAGTTCTTAACTCATAATTAGTTTGCTTTTCTTTTTCAAAAATCTAATATCCTGGACAAAGTTGGGTAACCAGGGTGGGCTCACATTCCTGCCCAAAGCAGAGATTAGCTGTTTTGCTAGTCTTTGGGGGGCCATTATGGGTATGACTATGATTTCTGTAGAGCTTCTTAAAATGCTTCAGAACAATCCACCACGTCTTGATGGCTCTGGTGCAGGAGACTTTTGGATTTGGGGAGCCCAGGAGGGCTCAGTGGGCAGCCTTGTTGTCTCAGCTGACTCCCTCCTTAGCTGATTGAATGGGGTGGTATTTTTGGGTAACTTGATCTCTGAGTCCTCAGGATTCCACAAGGGACCCATTGGAACCCAGTACTTTTTCTCCCTTCGTTAAAGTAGACTGTTTTAAGTGGTGGGAAAACTAAAACCATCTAGAGTAGAACTTTCCAGCTGGGTGGACATAGCCATTGACCCCGTTGACGTGCTTCCTCCCCAGAGCTTTCTCCTACCTGTCCCACACCATCCCTGATTTCACAGACAACTGTCTGATCAACATCATGAAGTGTGGAGAAGACTTCTATGCAACCACGGAGACCAATTACATCAGGAAAATCAACCCCCAGACCCTGGAAACCCTGGAGAAGGTATCAGTAAATCTACAACCAGCCTCAGTTCTTGACTCAAGAAAGGGACCCCCTGCAGGAGGCCAGGACCCTGCAGGAACTCACAGAGGAGCCCTCCTCTGATGCCCTTGGGTCTTGGGCTCTCCCAGCTCAGCGCTTAGCACTAGATTCTAAGCTTCCTTACAGCAGGACTGTGTCCTGTCATCTTTGTGTCTGTATTCATTCCTAGGACTCCCATAACAAAGGAATACAACGGAAATGTATCTTAGGTGGCTTAAGACAACAGAAATGTATCCTCTCACAGTTCTGGAGGCTGGAAGTCTGAAATCAAGGTATCGGCAGGGCCATTCTCTCCCTGAAGTTTCTAGGGGAGGATCCTTCTCTGTGTCTTCCAGCTTCTGGTGGTTGTTCCTTGGTTTTTAGGAACAACCAATAATTGTTGTAATCCAATCTCTTGCAAAGGTACAAATCATTGTGTGAAGGCCCACCCTAATCCAGAATGACCTCTTTTTAACTTGATTACATCTACAAAGACCCGATTTCCAAATTCAGGCACCAGGGGTTAGGACTTCAACATATCTTTTTGGAAGACACAATTCAACCCCTAACAGCGTCCATAGTCCTTGACACTGAGTGGCACCTCAATGGAAATTTGAATGAATGATGATACTGGGCCACCCAGGACTCCCAGCAGCCCTGCCTTGTATTGACCTGAAGAGGGAGGCATTAGGCACAGAGCAAGGGCGCAAAAATCAGTGCCCAAGCAGATACCTTTCCTGGGTAGAATCAAGTCTACATTTTCATGAAGATCAACAGACCCATTTTCAGTTTTCTCCAGCTGGCAGTTCAAAGCCTGGATGTCTTTGCAATACAATTTAACGATCTGTTGGAAGGAGTGCTTTCCTTAGCTGTGAAATTACGTCCAGCTCCTTTTAGGCTAGGCAGCATAGGTCCAACTGATGTATGCTTTCCACAGAGCTGCAGAGAGGAATTACTAGGAGAGAACGAGGTATCGCCTGACTTTTGGCTGGAGGAGGTTGTGCTATTCTGGGGGAAGAAGTGCAGGCAGCTGGTTCCCGGGCCACCCCATTGCTGTATGGCTGTGGCCTGTCAGGCGTTGGGATCATTATTGAGCTCCTTAGTCTCGTTTCCCTTTGACCAAATGTTTTTGTAACATTTCTGTCCCCAGAATAACCCTATGAGAGAGGCCTGGAGATTTATGCCTCTGTGGGATGCAAAAGGGGAGAATTTAAATAGCTTCACCAAAGAAGTGGCCAAGTTAGCCCTAAGGCTGCCTCTCTGCCGGCAAGGCCAGGTGGCAGGGTAGGAACAACTGTCAGAGAAAACACATGTAGCTTGCCAAGTCCCCAGCAGCCTATTAGCTGTGGGAGGCCCCCTCGAGGTTACATCAGGTTGCAAGAGGAAACATCTCCTTTAAAGGTGATGTCTGCCTTATTTTCAGATCAGGAGATGTGCAAAAATAACCATCATCTCTCTGAACCTGGAGTCAGTCAGCTTTTCACAGGATTTCACCCTCTCCCCTTTCAAAAACCAGGTGGCTGTCATGTTTTGTAGGTTGATTATCGTAAACACGTGGCTGTAAATCTGGCAACATCACATCCTCATTATGATGACGCTGGAAATGTTCTCAACATTGGCACGTCCATCGTGGACAAGGGGAAGACAAAATATGTGATCTTTAAGATCCCTGCCACAGTATCAGGTGGGTCATCCTGGGGCTGTAATGGAGTACAGACACCAGGGGTGGCTCTTTCGGAAGAGTTCTGATTTTGGTTGATAACACAGCACTCAATCTGACACTTACCCGCACAGATGATTCAGAGGACCGTGAACTCACTTTTCTCCTTTAGGAGAAAAGAAATGATGCTAGGCTTCCTTTTGGAAGAAGTGAATCCCTTTGCTATTCCAACCTCCTTTTCTTTAGGTTCCTGTTCATTAATTTATCCATTATTCATTAATCATCTACCTATCAATTCATCCATTAATCTATTCATCATCCATCCATCATCCATGCATCCATCCATCCTTCCTTTCTTTCATTCATTTTTTTTAGTTTTCTGACAAACCTCTGTATGTCAGGGCTGTGCTGTCCTCTTTCCTCCCAGCCCCTGAAGCCAGGCTCCCAGGGTTGTTCAGGGAGCTCAGCTGGCAGCCACTCCAGATCCCCACCCTGTTCTGCCAGCCTTCTGGACCTTCTCCATTTAGGGGTGGGAACCTGGCGTGGAGCCCAGACCGATTGTGTTCCTGAGGGGCAGGAGGGCGGGGCTCCTAGCCCTTATTTGTCCAGGGCTCTCTTGGGGACCACACCCAGGAGACCAGGCTCCAAGAGTGGCTGCGCAGGCTCAGGAGACAGAACTATGTGGGTGCTTGGCAAGACCTTCTGGTTTAGGAAGGCCAGTTTCCATCTGTGATCCCTGCTGGCTCCCCTCCCTCACAGTCCCGTAGAGACCCCCCGCCCCCACCCCGGCAGATTCCAGGCTCTGCTGGCAGATGGGAGCCCCCGAAGTCAGAAGGTACAATGCTCTTGTTAAATGGAACTGCCATTAATTAAGCCAATAAAGGGATATAGGGTCTGGCTTGGGATCCTAGAATGCAGACCTGGGGGTGGTCTAGGCATTTGAGTTTGCCACCTCATATTACAGAGCACTGCGAGCCCCAGGGGCATCAGGTGACATGTGCACGGCTCACAGGAGGTACCCTCTGCACACCTGGTCCAGGCTGGCAGCTTTGCTGGGATTCACGCCTGTGTCCTGCCTCCCAGGCCTGGGTGCCTTTCCTTTCAGTTTGCTTTGTGTTCCATTTTTTTGGTGAAGAAAAGAACTGCCCCAAAACCTAGAGCATCCCTCCCACCAGCCAGCTGTTTACAGTGTGCACAGGTGGCCACAAGAAAGGTGGCGACGCTTGCATGTAACTCATTATAACCCAGCCCCAGGCCTGGGTGTGGAGGCCTTTTGGCCAGAGGGTGACTCATCCTTGCAGAGGAATAAGAAAACCGAATAGTCCTGAGCACCTTCGTGGTGGATGCTGAGCAAGGTACTTGGATTCCTGCAGGATATCCCTTGGTCTCTCCCTTCCCTCTAATAACAGAGTAGGCAGCCAGACTAAGGGGCCTGTGTCTTTCCGGCTTAACCCTGTGCCTCTGGCTGTAATGATGGAGCGTCCCACCAAGCCCTGGTTTCCCACCTGTAATATGGGAATCGTACAGCCTACCTTGACTGTCACAATCTGTCACATTACCATAGACACTTAGTCTCATTCCCAGGTGTTTCAGAATGGACAATGCCAAAAGAAATTCATAGAAACCCCGTGAAATACACGTCAAATGATGGTTCTCAGCAGCATATCAAAGCTTAACCTTGGGAAGCTAGCCCACTGCCTGGGAGCTTGACGGAAATGCAGGGCCTCAGCCCCCACCCCACAGGCTGAGTCACACTCCACATTTTGTCGTGACCCCCAGATGATCCGCATGCACGTGAAAGTGAGGAACGTTACTCCAGAGCAGGGGTTGGCAAACGTTTCCCGTAAAGATCCACAAAATAAGTATTTGAGGCTTTTCCGCCCGTATGGTCTCCGTTGCGTGTGCTCAACTCTGAATCTCGAAAGCAAAGCAGCTGTGGACACTGCAGGGGCCACGCTGCAGATAAACCTCTATGTAGAAAGCAGGTGGAGGCTGGGTTAGCCCCGTGTTGGAGTTGCACACTCCTGGCCCAAAGGCCCAGTGGTCCAGAGGCCCAGAGCCTGGGGATGCAGTGGTTTTGGATGCCAGACCAGATCTCACGGGGGAAGGGCCCCATCCCTGCCTCAGCCAGGCAGCAGCTCCTTCACCCGGTTTGCTGTCGGCTCTCATTCGAAGGTTCTTCTCAGCGACCGGGTGGGTTTGAGAGGCCGCGCTGCAGGAGACGGTGGCCCCGTCGGGGGCCGTCAGGCCCTGCGCTTTCCCTGAGGCTGGCTTCTCTCTAGGGGGCGGGAAGAAGGGGCTGAGCCCCCTGAAACGCATGGAGGTGTTCTGCTCCATTGCCTCACGCTCGCTCCTGTCCCCGAGCTATTACTACAGCTTCGGAGTCACCGAGAGCTACATCGTTTTCCTCGAGCAGCCTTTCAAGATGGATATCCTCAAGATGGCCACTGCCTACCTCCGGGGCATGAGCTGGGCTTCCTGCCTGGCTTTCCACAGGGAGGACAAGGTAAGGCAGGGCCGGCGACCCCGCAGCACGAGGACGGCCAGAGCAAGATGGAGGTCAGCAGGCAGGGGCAGCTCCGGGAGGGAGGCCCTCAGCTGCCACGCAGTCTCCCCAGAGGCATGAGCCGACCTTCCAGCGAGTTCTGAAGCTGGGATGGTCCTTCACAGTGGTCCCCAGTTAGGGCAAGGGGCTGGGCCTTTATGCCCCGACGTCCATAAGTCAGTACAGCAGACCATCCGCAGAAGAGCGTGTGACCTTGGGCGAGGCAGCCTCAGCAGCCAAGGCAGCCCCTACTTGCCCAGTAGCAAAGGGACTGCTCATCAGCCCTGACCGGCGCCTGGCCTCCTCCAGCCTCCACCATCCATTGACAAGGCCCTTTCAGCATCCCTGCTGTGGGGCGGGGAGGGGATGTCACAGATTATTTAGACATCATGATGATAGAGTGTCCCACCGTATGGTGTAACAGAAAAGTCTTCAATTTAGGTACACCTGAGTGGAGTGCTCAGAATATCTGTGTGCCTGTTATGTACGTGTACCTCCCTGTATATGTGATGTGTGTATGTGTGTATACACGTGGGTATGAATACATTATTCATGTATAGGTGTATGTATGTATTTATTTGCTATTGTTACTTGTGAAAAATAATCAAGTAATTCTCCATGTCATCTATTCAAATAGCACACAAGCGTAGAAAGCAACAGATCAAGTCCCCTTCCTCCTCTCCGTCCCATTCCTCCCACCTCCCCGTCCAGCCCCCTCCAGAGGGAGCCACCACCGTCCATCCGACACCCTTCTACTCCTCTTTCTGTGCAGCACGTGCATCCTCATGTTCCCATGCAAGTAAGTATGTGTCCCGTGTGTGGCTGCCGCCTCTGTGATGCCTGTATTCTCGAGGAGAGTGAGGTCCTCGAGGGAGCAAAGGGGCTCTAGGCGAGAGCCCTCCTCCGCTCAGAACCTTCTGGTGATTTTCCGTCTTCCTCAGAATAGGATCCAAAGGCTTCACTCACCAGCCCATAAAGGCCCACATGCCCTCATCCCAACCACTGGCTTCCTGCTCACGTGGACGCCTCTTACACCTCAAACCTGCCAAACACGTTCCTGCCTCAGGGCCTTCGATTTTGTGTCCCCTCCACCTGGAATGTTCTTCCCCAGATGGCTTCCTCCCTTGATCAATCCCGGTCTCGCTCTACGCTCCCCCATCCCTGAGGTCCGCCTGTCTATCACAGACCCCCCGCCCCCGACAGGCTTTCTCCACCCCCCACTCCATTTTCTCGGTCATGCTCATCCATCATCCTTGATCACTGACCTTGGCCTCACCCCCACTGAAGTATACGCTCCATGAAAGAGGGCGGGTGGTTTTATTTTATCTCTCCAGTTCCCCAAAAAGTGTCTGATGTGTCTTAGGCCCTCATATGAATGTTTGTGGACTGAATGAGCTGGGCAAGGGGGCCAGCAGGTAGCCAGCGGAAGTGGGTTTGCTCCTCAGGACCACGAGCATCCCGCCGGCAGGAGTGTCAGGGCCCCCTAGGCCTCCAGTCTGCAGCCCCTGGGGACCTCTGGCCCTGGAGAGTCCCACAGTGAGAAAACAGAGCCCCCAAGGATGGGGCACAGAGCCCTGGGAAGGGCTTTGGAATGCATTTGGAGAACTTTCCGAGAAGTCCCTGTGGCTGACCCTGGGATTGGGTTTATGGGGAAGAAAGCCCACAGCAACCACGCCTGTGTTCACCTCCCCAAACCCACCCTCCCTCCCAATGCCCTCCTCCTCTGTACACTACTCCTCGCCCCTCCCCCACTTAACTTCAAAGCCTGATTCTGGGAAAGGAGAGAAAGAAGCAATGAGCCAGAGGAGGCGCGGAAATGGCAGCCTGGAGCAGCCCCTCCCTCCTTTCAGAAGGAGGATGGTTAGGCCAGAGCTGCCAAACGAAAGAAAATACCCCTTCCCCCTTGGATTAGGCAACTGGGGCTGCAGATATGGCTACTTGACACCCAGAGTGATACTGCCTGTGACACCCAGAGGTGCATGAGGACGCCTAATGAGCCAATACTCACGTGGGCTCCTTGACTAGACCGGTCACTCAGCACCACAGCCCTTCAGGGCACCCGGGTTACTGGGAAAACCACACCTGCAGTGGGCAAAGGCCAGGAGAGGGGACTCAGGAGGGGCTTTAGGGGCACTGGCCACCAGTGGGGCCTGAGGAGCCTTAGAGGGCTGGACCTGACTGTTTCTCCCCAACCTGGCCTGGCCTGGGAGCTGGCCTGTCGCTGCCCACCTGGATCACAGTCAAGTGAAGGCTGGGGAGACGGTACACTCTCAGATCCTGTATCTCCCCGGGTACTGTCCTCCTGGTGAGGAAGGGGCCCTGGCAGCAAAGCTTCCCTCCTCCCTCAGCACTTCTGCGTGTGTCTGGAGGTGGTACAGAGAGGCTCATAAAGGGGAGGGAATGCTTCAGGGTCACAAGCAAGTGGATGGCAGGGCTGGGTCTTGTCCCCTGCCTGATGCCACTGTGTTGGGCCTGCAGAGGAAGAGCTGACCACCGATGTGCATCTCCTTTCAGACTTACATTCACATCATTGACCAAAGGACGAGGAAGCCCGTGCTGACCAAATTTTACACGGACCCCATGGTGGTGTTTCATCACGTCAACGCCTACGAAGAGGACGGCTGCCTTCTGTTCGACGTCATTGCCTACGAGGATAGCAGCCTTTACCAGCTCTTCTACTTGGCCAACCTGGACAAGGACTTCGAGGAGAACTCCAGGCTCACCTCCGTCCCAGCCCTCAAGAGGTTCGCAGTGCCCCTCCACATGGACAAGGTAATGGCTTGAGTCCTGGGAGATGTGAGCCCACTCAGGAAGTGACTTTGGCTCTAATTTCGTTAATATTGAAATTCAAAGTGAGCTGTTCTTTTTTTTTTTTGGTTATGTTGGGTCTTCGTTGCTGCGTGCGGGCTTTCTCTAGTTGCGGTGAGCAGGGGCTACTCTTCATTGCAGTGCACGGGCTTCACATTTCGGTGGCTTCTCTTGTTGCAGAGCACGGGCTCTGGGCGAACGGGCTTCAGTAGTTGTGGCCGTCCAGTGGTTAAGACTTCGCCTTCCAATGCAGGGGGTGAGAGTTCAATCCCCGGTCAGGGAGCTAAGGTCCCACATGCCCTGCCGGCCAAAAAACCAAAACATAAAACAGAAGCAACATTGTAACAAGCTAAATAAAGACTTTAAAAATGGTCAACATTAAAAAAAAAAATCTTAAAAAAAAAAACAAAGTGTTCAATTCAATGGCTTTTAGCATATTCACAGAGTTGAATGTACAACCATCAGCACAATCAATTTTAAAACATTTTCATTTCCCCAAAATACACCTTGTACCCTTTAACCATCAGCCTCCCAACCCCCAACCCCTCCATCCCCGCCAGCCCCAGGTAACCACTAATCTACTTTCTATCTCTGTGTATTTGCCTATTCTAGATATCTCATATAAATGGAATCATACAATATGTAGTCTTTCGTGGCTGGCCTCTTTCACGAAGCATGTTTTCACAGTTCATCAGTGTTGTAGCACGTATCAGGGCCTCATTTTTTTTCATGGCTGAAAATGTACATACTATTTAGTATACTGCTATTCATACTATTTCCACCTACTTGTATATGTAGACATCTCTCCATGACATTAAATATTCTTCTATGACATCATTTTAAATATTGGCCTGACAGTCCATGGTGGGGATTCATCACCAGTTGCTCACCCGTCTCCCTGATGTTGAACAGTCCTGTTCTTACGTTAAAAATGACCCCTGGGCCAGACGTTATCCTTAATTAGGCTGATGCTGCCAGGGCTCTGGGTTTGGTTTTAAAGGCTACAGAGGCTCCTGGCTCCAGAACTTCCTGACTTCATGACTTAATTAATTTAAATGAATCCAAATTCAATTCAATTCAGTTTTGATGGCTCATCCTTACTCAATGCACTCTATGTGCCAGGTACTTTGCTAAGCATTGTATTTTCCTTACCTAACTTAATCGTCAAAACAATTTATGGGAGAGATCCTCAGGTTAGCCTCATTTTACAGAGAGGTTAAGGAATGTGCCCAAGGTCACACAGCCCAGTGGCAGAGCCAATATTGGCTCTAAACCCTTCCTTGGAGCTGATAAGGGGTATAACTCTGCTGATCTCCCGAGCAGGCCTAACTCCTGGAAAGAGTCCCAGAGGGTCACCCTGACCTCTCTCAGGGCCCTGCAGGGCTAGGGAACAGAAGACACTCCTACATGCCCAGGGAGGCTTCTCCCACCCTCCAGCCTCCTCCATGCAGGAGTTCAGGCACCTCCCAGCCAGTGGGCGGAAGACCCGCATCTGAACCCAGCTTTGTCCAACTCCAGAGTTGGGTCCTTTCTCCTCTCTCCAGCATTTCCCCATCTGCAGTCATTTGTGTATCTCTGTCATGATTTTCACCGTATTTCCCATCACCTCTGTTACCATTTACAAAATCATGTTTTCATTTAAATCAACTCACTCTTCCCTTAACTCATTTGGAAGGAAACCTATGACGACGCAGTGGAAAGGCAGCATTGCGCGCTGCACGTGGCAGAGCAGATGAGCGGGAAGGGCTGGTAAGAAAGCACAGGCCCTAAGCTCTAGCCTGACGCTGTTGCACTTGCCAAGACCTCATCTCTTCCCTAAAGAGAACACTGGAGAAGTATTAGGCGTCAAAGACATAGTGGCACCTAACTGAGACTCTCGCCTTGACCCAGTCGGAAAGATTGGAAGAGAAAAAGGGATTGACTTTCTCCCCATGTGATTCAGGGCTATTGAATGAACGGCCGTGTCCCACAAAATCATCATCTGAGCTGCTGGCCTCTGTGCCCATCACTCTGGGAAGTTCCATAGTGCAGCGCTTGGGGTGTCTCCTGGCTCCAGGATGCAATGGGGGTGTCACAAAGCACACAGGTGGCAAATTCTGAGGCCTGCCCACCTCCACCACACCTCCCACCCCACCCCCGCCTCGTGGAGGCCTCAGCCTATGGATGACACACAGAGAGGAAACACTCCCTTCCGCTGCCCACACACTGCAGGATTTTATGACCTTTTATCAAGCTCTAGAAATGATTTGCTTCCTTGGAACCAAGCTAAGAAGTTTAGCACGTGTATTTTAAAAATGCACTGCGTGAGCCGTCTGCAAAGAGCAAGCGCTGGGAAGGGTAGCTCCGGCCACGCTTTTTAATTGCTGTTTATTGTCCCTTAAAAATGTCTCCTTGCTTCACTTTCAAGTCACCCCACCTGCGTGTTGAAAGGGGAAAGTCGAGCTACAGACATGACCTATGTGTCCAGATCCGGCGGCTCTGATTCCATCCCGTCCAAAAGCATATTAGGGAAGGGCCTTAGGGGATGCTGCTCTTTCTCAAATGCCCTTCAGTCTGGGGCCTTTGCACGTCACTGTCCCTCTGCCTGCAACCCTGTCCTCTTCCCATGAGACCTCTGCTCCTGTCCTGGCTGCAGGTTGGACTTACCTGGGGGCTCTGAGACCAGCCCAGTGAAGGCACAACCTCCAGGGGATTCTAATCCCTGCTCATCCTTCAGGTCTGGCATCCTGACTCCCTCAGTGGGTTTGTATATTCTAGTGGCAACTGCAGCTCTTTGCTCACATTGATGGCAGGTATAATGAGCTTCCTGTTAAAGATCCCAGAGGGCTGGGACTCTTGGTCTTGTCAGCAGTTTATTCTCTGAGCCCATCACAGGGTCTGGTACTCAGAGGGTTCTCATTAAGCCCTTAGATATTTTAAATAAATGAATGAACGATGAATGAATGAAAAAGGTGAAGCAAGGTCTCTAAAAGGGCACAAGGTCTTCCTTTAGCGCTTGGAACATTTCCCAAGTGGAAAGTGCCTTCCACATAGAATGGGCTATACTGAAGTGTGTTCAAAAGTCTGGGGCCTCCCAGCTGCCCCAGCTTCTCTGGCGTTTGGGCCAGCTGGGGTCAAAGGAAGGAGGGGCCCACTGACACCCTCTGCCTGTTTGTGTAGGGTGGTGCGGGGGTTGTTTAAGGTGGGGCTGGGCCCCAAGGGGCATGGGCGGTGCCAACAGTCCCTGCCAGCCACCCTGCCCTCGTCCTGCAGGGCTCCAGGAAGGGGCGGGGCTGGCATCTTGGAGCTAGAAGGGATGGTTCCAACTCCTGGCTCAGTAGATTTGGTTTTTGTCTTGTTTTCAAATGCAGAAATGAAGACCCAATAATAAGAGAAGCCACCATTTCTCGAGAGCTCACTCTGTGCCCGGCCCTGTGTCAGATGCCTTTTCTGCTCTTAGACCCAGGCCAGAGGGGCCCCCTGCTCTGGCCTTTCTCCATCAGTGTCCCTTCTTCACTGGGTGAGGAATTCACAGGGCCACAGGGTGCCCACCCAGAGCGGCACCCTTCCGACCCCAACTGTGACCTGGGATCCCTAAATTCCCTGCACAAATGACCCAAGCCAGCCTGCAGCAGCTGCCTCTGTCTTCCTAAGGGCAGGCTGTGCTGCTGGATGCAGCCCTCAGACCCACCAGGGAGGCCAGGACTGGCTGGGGCTTCTGTGCAGTGGCAAGAAAAGGAGGAGGGAAGCCCGGGCCCAGAGGCCAGCCTTCACTCTGCCGCCTGCTTCTAGCTCAGAATGCCAAGGAGTCCTGGAATTCTGAATTCACATGCATCCTTCCAGACCAGCACTGGGCACTAGAACCTGCTGCAATGAAGGAATATTCTCTGTCCAAGCAGTAGCAGCCAGATATCTAGGCTACTGAAATGTGGCCAGTGCAGCCAAGGAAGGGAATTTTAAATTTCATTAAATTTAAATTTAAATAGCTACGCATGGCTTGTGGTGGTTGCCGTATCAGACAGCACAGTTCCACAACATTATGAAGCTCTGTGCATAAAGGAAGGCGGGAGAGAACGGTATTTTACTTAATAATTTGCTATATGTGGACATAGGTTTGGTGAGCCTCTGCTCTCATCCTGGGTCCTGAACATTTTTGGCCCTGTGAAATGCTCCGCATGCTTCTCACCGAATCTGTATGACAGTCCTTGGGGTTATTTATCATCCCCATGACTGTAGATGAGAGAGATAGTAACTTGCCCAACATGGCAGAATCATCCAGAGGATCTGAGTTGGGATTTGAATGCATGTCTGTCTGGCTCCAAATTACTGACTACGATGGTCTGGCCCTGGATCAGGTGCTTTCATAACCATTATTTAATTTAATCCTAACCACAATCCCCAGACGCAGGTCAAAGGGACTTTCGCTTGTACTCACCACCCGTCCAAAGGTTACGGATTGCCCCCCTTTATACAAAGGAGGAAGCAGGCTCAAGTTCACGTAGAAAGCTCTACAGTCATTCTTCACACCCAAGGCTGCCAAACTCCAAAGCCAGTGTTTTGCGGGATTATTGAGATTACTGCTTCTCATGGGAGTTCCCTCGAGTTGAGGAATTCCAAAGCCAGACTGCAGGATTTCGTTGAATTCTGGCTGGAAAGTGATTTCTTCCCAAAGTTGAGCACATTGGCCATAGAAAGCTGCCAAGTCATGTTCGTTACTGCTGTGTGTGGAAAAATTCACAGTTTATGCCTCAACCAGTCTAACCAGTTTCATGCTGCAGCTAGAAAACGTCTCCGCGGACTGACTCCCTGAGAATCAAGCCTGGGACATGCACAAGAGGCCTGTGGCTGCCTCTTGACTAGCAAGGCACAGGGCAGGGCCTCTCACATGTGGGGCTGCACATACAGATGAAGGCAAACAGAGCCTCTGCTTCCAAGTCGCCCGATGTGCTAGGCGCTAGACGACCTTTTCACGCCCTTCGTTTGATTTTTACAACCACTGCAAAGCACATGTTCTGCCCCTTAAGAGTTGAAGGAGAAGCTCATTGAGTCATGCATTTGCTCATTCCTTCAGCAGTTACTTCCTGGGAGCTGACTCTGTGCCATGCACTGAATAAAGTCTGATCACTGTCTGCACAGGGAAGACAGCATGAAAGAAGGGAGCAGGTCCATAAAGGAGATAATTGCAGCTTGGGACACATGCCTTGGAGACACTGCAGACTAACTTGTCAGGGAAAGGGATGTTTGAGCCTAGAACTATGGGATGGGAACCGGCCAGCTTGGGGGCTTTGCTTTGCCTGCTGCCTGCAGTGCTTTTGCTTCTGAGCAGAAGAATCTCAGTGCAAAGCTCTGGGCCCAGCCTCTGCTCCCCTCTGTGTGACCTTGGGCAAGTCACTTTCCTTCCCTGGGCCTCAGTTTCCTCTTCTGTTCATTGGGATTGTCCTAAACAAATCTCAGAGGAGCCCTACGGTTCAGCTTCTAGGATGCAGTAAATTTCCCACCTTCTCAGCAAAAAGCTGCTATTGTTCAAATAGGTTTGTTTTCATTATAAAAGCTTATTTTGGAAAGTTTGGAAAGTAGAGAAAAGTTTAAATGAGAAGTCAGACATGACCATACTTCTCCGCCCGTAACTCCATGAATGCAGGGATTTGCGGTCTTGTTACCCCTTCTCCCCAGCGGCTAACCTGAACCCACCCCCAGGGGTAGTGGCAGTAGCAGTAGTAGTAAAAATAATGCTAATAATAATACAATTATGTTATCAATAGCAGTTAACATTTATCTAGCATTTACCGCTAACCAGGTCCTCTTATAAACCAACTGCATGGATTATTTTATTTAACCTGCATAATAACTCGGAGACGCGCATACTATTTATACGACGCTTGTGCTATACCTCATTGTACAGATGGGGAAACTGAACTTCAGAGATACCAAGTAAGTTGTTCAAGGTCCCGTAGAGAGTATGTGGGGACACAGGGAGTAGTAGATGCTCAATAGATATTTAATTAATTGTGTTCAGTCTCTCTCCTGGGTTACAACGATGATGGTAAAGTACTGAACAGAGTCTGATTGTCACTTGAGACCAAGAGATGTCCTTGATAGATATTTTTCTCCCAAGTAATTTTTATTGCATGTTTGTTTTCTTTTCAACAGGGGTACATTTTCATAGGAGAAAATACTGAAAATCTAGAAAAGCCTAGAAAAAGAAATGAAAGTCTCTATAATCCCACCGCATGCTGTATTGTTACTATTTGGTATTTCTCCCAGGCTGTTTTCAATGTAATTTCTTTTTCTTTTTCTTTGTTTAACATGGTTGAGCTCAGACTGTGTATGCAGTTTACTCTGCTGCTTTTTTCACTCAGTATTCTATCATGAGCATTTCACACGTTATTATGAACTCTTTATAAACACCTTCTGAATGACTGATGCAGCCTTTTACAGGTGAATCATCCAGTATTTAAAAAGCGAGAACTTATAAGTACATTAATTCACCTGTGAGGGATCAGGCACCCCAGAGTAGAAGAAAAGATCCAGAGTTTTTAGGGCCCCCCTTCTACCACCCACCAGCTTTGCCCTCTTTGGGGAGTTACTTCCAGCCCCCAGCTCTCGTTTTTAACTGAAAATACCAATCGTATAATAGCTGATTCCGGTGGTTAATGTGAGACCAGAACAAGGTGACAGACACTAAAGCATTTTTTAACATGTGCACAGTAAAACAAATATTTGTTCTGGATACCAAGTTTTTATTTTTCTGGAAAACTGATTCTTTCAGAACGCAGAGGCGGGCTCCAATTTAATCAAACTGTCATCTACAACAGCAAGAGCCCTGAAGGAAAAAGAGGACCAAGTCTACTGCCAGCCGGAGTTGCTTTATGAAGGTAAAATGCACCCTCTCTCCTGTGTTTAGGGAAGGGCTGAATGTCCTCTTTATATGAAACCTCTTTCTGATGCAGAGGAGATGTGCGAGGATGAGGGACTGAGAGGAAGGCTGTTGCGACGCCCAGGGGAAGGCATTTAGGGACACTTCTCTTTCATGTATCTTCATACCCCTCCCAGGGAGGTACTCGGGTGGTCGTTGGACCCAGGGACTTTCACGGCTAGCCTTTCAAATGCTTCTGTGTTGTTTTTTTTTTGCTTTCTTTTTAAAAGTTTATTTTATTATTTTGAATTTAAATTTTTTATGCAGTTTTTAAAGGTTACTTTCCATTTACAGTTATTACAAAGTATTGGTTGTATTCCCTGTGTTGTACAATACATCCTTGAGCCTGTCTTACACCCAATAGTTCGTAACTCCCTCTCCCCCACCCCATATCGCCCCCCTCAACTGGTAGCCGCTAGTTTGTTCTCTGTATCAAATGCTGCTGTGTATTGAACGCTGACTTACTGAAAGGCATGGCATGTGCAGATTTCTACCTGTGCACACTCAGAACATCCTGCAGAATCGGTGCTATCAGCCCCATTTGCCAGAGGAGAAAATTGGGCCTCAGAAAGCCTGAGCTACACCCAGAGCATAAACCCCCTCAGAAAGAAGCACCCACCAGAGCAGGGCGTCCCAATGTGGGCACTGCTGATACCGGGGCCGGGTCGTTCTTTGCGGGGAGGGCTGCCCTGGGCATTGGAGGATGTAGATCAGCGTCCCTGACCTCCAACCCACTGCCCTAGCATAGAAGCCCATGAGGTGGGGACCGTGTTTGTGTGCTCAGTGCTGTCACCGGCACATGACAGAAGTCTGGCTTAGAGCAGGGTGTGCTCAGTACTGCAGCGTGGAATGAACAGGCCTGCCCAGGACAGGGCTGGGGAGCGGCAGGCGGGGCTCTAGGCTGGGAGCCCGGCTCCCCATGTCGCTGCCCCACGCCAGGGCCAGGCATCTGGAAGGACAGTCCTGGGGACTCTGCTAGGATGACCTTAGATTTGCCCACTAAGAACCCCGTCTACACATGGCATCCCATGGATCCCATAATGGGTTCTGTGTGGTGCCACAGCCCCTCAGAGTCTTTGGAAGTGAACATAGACATGTTCATCCCCATTCTTAAGGCATCAACTTCCATCTCTGCTCACCTGTCACTCACATGGGCAGATGGAGGAGTAAAACACTATGGTCGTTTTATTTCTGGGAAGGGAATTCTTGTTTATCGTAGCAACCTTGGGCAGCGCTGAAAAGCATGACCGTAGACAAATCCTTCATAATCCCTCCACCTGTGACGGCCGTCTTTCCATCACGTAGGCATTGCTTGGCACATGCCAGGCCCTCTTCTAGGGGCTCCCCAGCTTCCCGTCCTTTCCTCCCCAGTCTCATCCTGTTCTTATCATGTTAGGTGAGTCCATGCATGTAAGGGGCTTAGCTGAGGGCCTGGCCCGCAGTGAGGGTCACAGCCGTGATTAGAACACCTCTAAGAGGCAGGTGCTGCCATGTACGGTTCATGCTTTAGAACCGAGGACAGCAGAGCTGAGAATAATTCGATAACTTGCCTGAAATGGGGCAGCAGAGCCAGCATCTGAACCCAGGCTTCACTGACTCGAAAAACCCTTAACCTCTGCATTTACGGTTATACAAAATGCATACCATACCATCTAGAATGTTCTGAAATGGCTTCTTCCACTTAATGAATGTAGCCTGGGAATTTCCCCACATCCCAAAGATTCTTCAAGAGCGTGGCTTTAATAGCGGGACAGAATTCACAGGGATGAATCACATTTTACTTAACCATGGGCATATAGCTGGTCATTTACAGAGTGGAGGAAAGGGGGGCTCCAGACCAGGTTCGAGGGACCCAGGAGCATCACAGAGATTCTCAGACCAACTCTGGAACCAACAGTGGGCATCTTTTTTCTGAGTTGAGTGTGTGGGTGGTCCCTCGTCCTCACGTTCATCTTGACCTTGGGAATTTCGTGATTACTCGACTGTGGGATCGGACGTCTTCCCTTCTTACTGCTGCACCCCACTTCCCTCCCCACTGAGCCCGATAACCAGTTAGGCCCTGGGTCCTCTTCAGGAGGCTTTTATGTGGCAGATGTTTCCATCTCTGCTTCTTCTTTTCTTGGGCATTATATTTTCACCAGCAGTTGGCTCCAACTCGCTGCGATATTTCATAAGAGGGACTTTCATTTCAATATTCAGACTTAGAAATTCAATTTGACACAACAAGCATATATAAATATATATGCATGGGCATGGACACATTTTTAAGGCTTTTTGGATTACAAAAGTAATAGGTATAATGAAAATTTCACACAATGAGAAACTTAGAATGGACAGTACAAACTATAAACCACCATGAGGAAGTTATCACCCCAGCAATGCTTCCAAACTTTTTCTCTTCATTTATAACACAGTGGAGATAATTCCATAAGCAGCCTTTTACATTTAATCTTATGATGTGGACATTTCCACATGTTATTAAAATTCTTTATAAATGTTACTTTTGTATAATGTTATTATATGATTTCACCAGATTTATTTAAATATTCCCCACTGATGTCCCTTCCACGGCTTCAGAAGTTTCTATTCACACCCACACATGTGCACGCACACACTTTTTTTTAAAAAGAGCTTTAAAAAATTGCAGTAGCCTCTGATTTTAGTTGTTTTTTTTTTTTTTTTTGCGGTATGCGGGCCTCTCACTGTTGTGGCCTTTCCCGTTGTGGAGCACAGGCTCCGGACGTGCCGGCCCAGCGGCCATGGCTCACGGGCCCAGCCACTCCGCGGCACGTGGGATCCTCCCAGACCGGGGCACGAACCGGTGTCCCCTGCATCGGCAGGCGGACTCTCAACCACTGCGCCACCAGGGAAGCCCGCCTCTGATTTTAATCATGCAATTTTCTTTGATTTCTATCTTGGATAATTAAAGATGTTTATACACTTAGAAACCCAGGTCTATCTTACCTTGCTCTTAATGGAGCTTCTAATGGAGCTGGGGTAGTTATCAGAAGTTGCCTCCTCCTGCCCTGTGATCACCCTTGATCCAATCCAGGGCCTGAATCAAGTTCAGGGATCCTGGCTTGGGAACCGTTTTTGTGAAAAGTATGCCCAGCCTGGATGCCACAAAAGACAGGTGGTCCCAGCTCTTGGTGAAGGGGGCTTTGTCAGCTGGGTCTTTTCTCTCTAGGCTTAGAGCTGCCTCGGATCAATTACACTCACAACGGGAAGCAATACCGCTATGTCTTTGCTGCTGAAGTCCAGTGGAGCCCCATCCTAACCAAGATACTAGTCCTCGGAAGATGGCAGCCTATAACCATCGTGTCTGTCTGCAAAGCTGAGTTCCCAGGTTCTCAGGGAGGTCAGAACCGAGGTCCCCTTGGGGTGGGGGTAAGTCAGAAAGTGACGTCAGCTTGGGACAAAATACACTGGAAACAACGGTGGACCATCCAGGGGAGGGAATTGCATCTTATGGGCTGTTGCTCAGGAAGGTTGGGGTGGCTGAAGTTTATCCATTGATTTCTTTTTTGAATGCATGTTTATTGAGGACCAGCTATGTGCTACAATGTGGTAGGCACCGAGGAAAAGGAAGTGAACAGGGAGATCCCAGTTCCTGCCCTCAAGGAACTCACTGTCTCAAGCAGAGAGGGTAGAGCTGAAACTAGGAGGATTTACGTTTTCTTTTTATTAACTTATTTTTTTTAATATTTATTTATTTGGTTGCACTGGGGCTTAGTTGTGGCAGGTGGGCTCCTTAGTTGTGGCATGCGAACTCTTAGTTGCAGCATGCATGTGGGATCTAGTTCCCTAACCAGGGATCTCACCCAGGCCCTCTGCATTGGGGGCGTGGAGACTTATCCACTGTACCACCTGGAAAGTCCCTATTAACTTATTTTTAAATTGAAGTATAGTTGATTTACAATATCATGTTAGTTTCAGGTGTACAGCATAGTGATTCATATTTTGGTTTTTAAACTGCTATTTGTTTGAACACTTGCTGTTTCCCAGGGACCATGCTGAGTGCTGTACAGACTTCAGTTTTCCTTAGTAGCTTCAGTTTTTAGTAATAAAATGGAAAATCTTTTTTTTTAAATGCAAGCAGTGCAGAAATGTATAAAGCAAAAAATTAAAGTTCCCACACACACATACGCACACCCCAAGTCACTCCCCACTAATCCCACACCCTCAGAGGCAAGAAGCCTATTAGAGATTGAGAGAAGGCCAGGGACTCACACTTTTAAAACAACAAAGGAATCATATTATACTTTAAACGTTTGCATTGAATACTTTAGCTTATCTAATGTGTATAAAAATTGCAATATATGGGCTTCTCTGGTGGCGCAGTGGTTGGGAGTCTGCTTGCCGATGCAGGGGACACGGGTTCTTGCCCCGGTCCGGGAAGATCCCACATGCCGTGGAGCGGCTGGGCCCGTGAGCCATGGCCGCTGAGCCTGTGCGTCCGGAGCCTGTGCTCCATGGTGGGAGGGGCCGCAGCAGTGAGAGGCCTGCGTACCGCAAAAAAAAAAAAAAAAAATTGCAATATAGTGCCAAGTACCAGATAAATCCAAGGGTTTTATTTCTGAAAGAATTCAGTGTGCACTGTCAGCTCTGCAGTGGCAGGAGGACCTTTGCTTCAAGTCGGAGGAGGAAGCAAGCTGCTTTTGTTTCTGTTGTTACACTGACCAGAGGCAGATGCCATTTGGGGTCTATGTTCACCAGAGTCCACTCCCCTCTCTCTGCGGCCTTGATACCTTCCTGTTCGCAGGGAATAAGCATGCTCTCCAACCACTCATTCCCCTGTTTCTCCCCTTTGGATGCGCAGATAATAAAATATGACATTCTCACGAAGTCATCCTTGAAGTGGGGAGAGGTACACTGCTGGCCGGTGGAGCCAGTGTTCGTGCCCACACCCGGTGCCAAGGACGAGGATCACAGTAAGGCTCCAGGAAGGGCAGCCCGCTTGCTGCACTGTGCCTGTGATCACCCCTCAAACAGAGACATCGTTTGGGGGCAGTGACCGCCCCCCATCACACAGCTGGTGGAGTCATGCTTTGAAGCCCAGATGTGTCTGAGTCCAAAGCTGTGGGATGAGGGAGTCCCCCAGCCCACCCCCACTTCTGACACCAGCTGCAAGTTCGGGGATCCCCAAGACCACCCTCAGTTTCAAGAGAAGAGCTCACAGAACACACCGAAAGCTGTTGTACTCATGGTTATGGTTTATCTCAGCGAAAGGGTGCAGATTGAAAGAGAAAAGGCGAGTGGGGCGGGATCCAGGAGAGTCCTGTGCTTGGGGTTTCTGCTGGTCCTCTCCTGTGGGGTGTAGGACCACGCCAACTTCCCCAGTGACGTCCACGGAGTGTGGCCAACCAGGGAACTCTCCAAGCCCTGTGTCGGAGCCTGTGTGGGGCGTGGTCATGCGGACATGGTGACCTCCAGTCTTCGGCCCCTCTGGAGCTTGAGCTGACACCTGTGGCCCAGGCCTCCCCCTAAATCACTTTGCTAGGATGGGTTATATGCAGTGGCCCCAGGTAAATAAAGGCACTCTCATCAGACCGTCAGTCCAAGGCCTTAGAGGTCATCTCCCAGGAGCAGAAGGTCAGACTTCCCTTCAGGGTGATTAAATTGTTTGCGACACAAAAGCCCACTTCCTTTCCACGGAGCTGCCCTACCCTTGCCCAGAGTATAGAATCTTGATTTTAAAATCCATTGCAATGGCTGGGTCTGAATTTGTAACTCCTCTAAGCATGTAAGTTTTCCATGGAGCACCTAGAAATGCTTGTGGCCCTCCTCTCTTGTCCAGGTTTCCAACTGACCAAATGGTCCTTTCCCTCTTTGATTCTGCCTTTGCCCCAGAAATGCCCTGCCCACCCCCTAAGGATGCTAAGGAGGGTACTACAAGCCTGGGTGGGACTGCCCACGCCTATGGGGAAGGGCAGGTTGCCCCGCTGAGCCTGCCAGCTGCTTCCCTCAGGTGAGAAGGGAGTGGTTTTCTACCTGGGTCTTCCTATCGACCTGTACTGCACGGCACACCAGGTAAAGGACCCCGTGTCACTGTCACCTCCAAGGTGGGGGATGGTTGGTGCCACCTGCTGCTTAGGCTGGCCTACCCCTGGGCTGGGCAAGTGTATCCTGCATAATGTCTTGTGGGCAGGGAGCAACCTGGTCTTCATTCCACCAAAGAAGAGGCTCAGAGAGTGAGGTCTTACCCACGGTCTGTCACATGCCCGGTGCATACAGAGGAGGGTTGAATTCAAGCTGATCTGACCTCAGCTGCCCTCAGCCACTCTGAAACCCGGGAGGCCTTGGGAAGAATCACAAATATTTGCTGGAAGTTTATGTGCAGTATTTCATTTAGCCCTCTGTCCCTTGAGAGTGGGTATTTAGAATATTCCCATTTTACAGAGGGGAAAGCTGCACATACATGAGATGAATTGGACTCATTCAAATGCCATTTGAGTGCAACTGGTCCGGGTTTAGCCGAGTGACGGATATTAGCCTAAGTGCAGCATCAAAGCTGATTCTCTGTAACTGGAGTTTCTAAATAGTAGGAAAATAGCCATTCTTCAGTGCATGTAATGATTTACAAAGTGCTTTCATAACTGCAAGATCCTCTCAGCAACCCTCTGAGGGTGGGGAGGATTATCCCCACTCTACAGATGAAGAGACTGAGGCTCAGAAAGGTGAGGGGACTGGTTCAGCCAAGCCTTCCAATTTCCCTGGCTTTTCCCTTCCGCTCCCACAGAATATCAAATTCGCTTCCCTTCTGTTTTGATTAGATAACTTACATTCAAAGGACAGGGAGATAGAGCTGAGAAATGTATCCCCCCAGCTGGACCAGGTTCAAGGCTGCACTTTTACAAAGTGTCTCTTTTTGTTTCCCCAAAGGGATTATCTTATCAGCCATTGTCTCTACCGATCCCCAGAAGCTGCCTTTTCTGCTGGTTCTGGATGCCAAATCTTTTACAGAATTGGCTCGTGCCTCCGTTGATGTAGAGATGCACCTGGATCTCCACGGGCTGTTCATCCCAGGTGCCGACTGGGATGCAGGGAAGCAGGCCTCTTCCCGGGAGGAGCGGGACAGGGCTGCTGAGCGCCATGTGGCCCCAAGGACGTGACAGGGTGCGGGCCTGGGCCCTGGAGAACGGCTCCACCAGACTCAAGGGTGGTCCCTCACTGGGTGGGGGGCAGGGGGGCCCTTCATTTTACTTTGCAGTTATTCTTTCCATGGTTGCTTTGAGACAAAGTTATGGAAATAGAGCTTTTATCAGTATCTTTGCTTTCATTTCATTTTGGCCATAAGAACCTTGTTGGAAAGTTGATCAAATATTTACTGATTAGCTCTAGTACTTCTAAAAGCCCCTTTCCTTTAGTATAAAGACCGTGACCATGAATCAGCAATTGTATTAAGGCACATAATCATTGCTCCTAGAATGGGCAGCCGCTGACCCACTGGAGAAGAGACACAGAAATATTTATCGTTGCTCCTCCCTCCCCAGCTTTCTTTCCCTTCTCTCCCTCCCTTCTTTCCCGTGGACCACATCGTGAGTTCTAGCTTTCTCAACCCTGTGCTGTTAGTAGACTACGTGGCCCAGAAGGTGTGTACTTTGTGGTCATTCCATGCAAGGCATGGCATAGTATAAAATAATAAAACTTTAAAGCCTTTTCAGACCTTATTTTAATTTTACATGTCTTCTTTCCTCTGAAGCTCTTCTAAGGCAGTAAAACAGAGGGGCAGAGCTAGACGGTTCATAGTCCGCCAGGTGCCTCATTGTACACCCAGTGGGACAGCAGACTGGTGTGGGCATCCCCCACTGCAGGAGGGTACGGAGGGGCTGGAATCCAGGATTGAGTCCTGTCTTGCCTGATGCTGAGAACCAGGGTGGCGAGGCGTGCCAGAGCCAAACAGGAAAGGGGGTCCTGTCAGCAGAATTCCTTGGAGATTCATCCAAGTTGTTGTTGTTGTTTTGCTTTCCTTTTTATTTATTTGGCCGCGTCGGGTCTTAGTTGCGGCTCCCGGGCTTCTCTCTAGTTGTGGCGCGCAGACTCCAGAGCACGTGATCTTAGTTGGCCCGTGGCATGTGGGGTCTTAGCTCCCCGACCAGGGATCGAACCCCCATCCCCTGCATTGGAAGGCGGATTCTTAACCATTGGGCCACCAGGGAAGTGCTATCCAAGTTGTTGTTTGTTTTCATCCAAGTTGTCCTGTGTTGGGTATGTTTTATTCACTACTCTATCCTCTCGAACACTGCCTGGTAGATGCAGGCTCTACCAACAAATTAACTATTTGTTGAACGAATGAATTCCACCAACAAAGAAATCCAACTCCATAATGTACGAAAAAGGGATGGATATTTAAAAAAAAAAAAAAAAAGTACAGGATATTTTACTGAAGATCTCCTGGGAAGACAAGGAAGACAGCTCGCATGGGACACCACCCCCAAATTCCCCACAAGGGTTCCTCTCCCAGCTGTCCCTGATCTCTCTTTCTTCCCCTGTTGGTTCCTCAAAAACTCCTCTACCATCCCAGCATTTCCAGTTCATGAGCAGGTCATAGATCCCATTAAACAAAAACCCAAACTCCGTGGCTGGCAGAATGAAGACCATCTACTCTTCTCTGGAGATCTCAGTACTTCCAGCCTTGCTAAGATGGATTGGAAAGAAATGTCAACCATGGTGGCCTAAGAAACATGTGATGGAGGCCTGCATTTGGGTGGCAGGAACGGAAAAGAGTTGACAAATGGGACAGTCACTCACCTATTCATTATTTTACTTTAAACGTTTGAGAAGAGGGTGGTATTTAAAAAATGCTTCCCCACCGCTATTCTACTGAATTCCCATTGCCAAACAATACCCAGACCTAGTCATGAAAAAGGACGCAGTTCTGCAGGGAAGAAAATTATGTCGGGCTTCCCTGGTGGCGCAGTGGTTGAAAGTCCGCCTGCCGATGCGGGGCACACGGGTTCGTGCCCCGGTTCAGGAGGGTCCCACACGCCGCGGAGCGGCTGGGCCCGTGAGCCATGGCCGCTGAGCCTGGGCGTCTGGAGCCTGTGCTCCGCAACGGGAGAGGCCACAGCAGTGAGGGGCCCGCGTACCGCAAAAAAAAAAAAAAAAAAAAAAAAGTATGTCCGTGGTTTGTTTTCCTTGTTTAGGAAGACAGGTAAAATACCAGACCAATGAGGAAGCCTGGCACACCACATCTTTTCTTCTTGGTTTCAGACACACCAAAGGTCAATGCCGCGGGGCTTCCCTTCCCTGGTGGCACAGTGGTTGAGAGTCCGCCTGCCGATGCAGGGGACACGGGTTCGTTCCCCGGTCCGGGAAGATCCCACATGCCGCGGAGCGGCTGGGCCCGTGAGCCATGGCCGCTGAGCCTGCGCATCCGGAGCCTGTGCTCCGCAACGGCAGAGGCCACAACAGTGAGAGGCCCGCGTACCGCAAAAAAAAAAAATGGCCAATGCTGGGACGTCCAATTTACCTTGATCCTGAATTCTGTCATATTTCAGACACAGGCCAGGGTAATTAGCTCAAAAGGCCGCAGGAGCCAAGACGCATGCGCCTTTCTTGAAGCCGAGACCATCCGTCTTATCCTCAGAGCCTTCCTTGTTATGCTTCATGTGGGTGTAGTGCATGTCCAGGAAGTTCTGCAGGAGAAATCACCCTGGATTTGTTTATTCCTTTGATAAAACCACAGCTTTTCACAAACGCTCTAAGATGTGTCAGGTATGTGGTAAGCCCTCAGATGTTTGACCCACTAATTTTTCCTTCAAGGGTTTCTCTAATTTGATTCCATCTCAGGAATAAGCTGGATGTATACGTGGACAAATCAACTCACAAAAAATCCAAGTGCATTCGAGCTCCATCCGCATTACTGGTTTGTACTCGTTTCCTCCCAAAGCTACCGAGCAGTGGGCTGACTCTATTGAGAAGGTTGCTTTTCCAGGTTAAATGAAAACACCTTTGATCACTTGTTCAGCTGTTTAAAGGCAGTTTGGGTGGTTTTTAAATGGCCGGGGGAAGTCTTTCCCATGGTAAATCAGGACATGCAGACAGAAAAGTCAGCACCGCCTTCCTCATCATCCAACGACAGTGAGACCAATGGCCTCTCTCTTCAGCTTCCTTCTGGACTCAGTGACCAGGTGCAGGCCACTGCCCTGGCTGCTGGGCTGCAGCAGGAAGCAGTCTCTCAAGGTCAAGCACCAGCAGAGAGGCTGGGGTTTTCTTGGACAAGGTGAGCAGGGAGAGATGTGGGAGCCCTGTGTTGGGACAGGTGGGGATGAGCCAGCCTTCCTTCCTCCTGGCGACCAGGAAAGGCCTCCTGGAGGGAGCGCCTGCCCAGATCCTGAGGGTGCAGCTCGGGATGAGGAACTGAAGGCGGATGTGGGTTGACTGAACAAAGCAGGTGTTGAGTGAA